TCTCCCACTCTTTGTCCTCTCTCACTCGCCTCTCTCCTCCCTCTCTCATTCTCGCTCACCTCTCTCCTCCCTCTCCCAATCTTGCTTGCCATTTATATAAAATGTATATGTGTAATATACAGTTATGTACAATTATATGCATATATAATTCACCTCTCTCCCACTCTCTTCCCTCTCTCGATCGCCTATCTCGATCTCGATCGCCTATCTCGATCTCGATCGCCTTCTCCTCTCTCTCCCAATCTCGCTCACCTCTCTCCTCCCTCTCCCAATCTCTCTTGCCATATATACAATTACTTATGTATAATATACAATTATCTAACCAATATACATATACAATTCACCTTTCTCCCACTCTTTTCCCCCTCTCTCTCGCCTCTCTCTCCCAGTCTCGCTCGCCTCTCTCCTCTAAATAACATGTAGCTACAAATTGTAATTATCAAACTATAGCTATAGAGAATAATTAATTATTTTTAAGTGGCTATATGTGAAAGTTTCTTAATTTAAAACTAAAGATGAATATTTAAAATAACAAATAAATCTCCACCTTTAGTTTTTAATTATGACACATGAGTTCCATCCAAATATGTACATGGGGAAATGAAAGAAAATAAGTAATTGAGAGAATATTCATTTGATATTCATATAAAATGTATTCTTCTATCACAGAAGTTATATCTAGAATACACTTTATATTAGTCTCTCCTAACTTATTTATTATCATTGCCTATTTTCCAAACGCTTCTAGTTTCTTTGTTATCCGGTCCCCATATGTAAAACGTTGCCAAGGAATAAGTAATAGTCATACATCATAGAATACCGGGAGATGATGTATCTAGTGCATTGTATAACTTGTTTTGAAGAATTTGAATACATTTGGATGATATCTTTGTTTGGATTCTGTTTAAAGAGTTGGATCAGTACGAGTAACAAAAGGATAATGAGTGTTTATCTAAAATATGATATTTTATTTCAATAAATCTCATGATAACAACAATATAATTAAATAGTCAAATAATATAATAAAGAACGAACTTAGCTAATAAATGAAAGTACTAAAAAATAATTTTAACCCTTGTTCCAAAGTTACAATCTACAATGTAATATTTTTACTTTGACATAAAATATTTAACTTCACCTGATAATACTAATACTTATATGTGTAAGTATTGATTTAAGTTAATAAGACCTTAACCATGTGTTTTCGATATATTAGTTTAGATGTAGTTACAAGAAAATTATTTATTAATACGGAGATTTGGTTAAGTTAACTAAAAGTTCCAAAAAAGGTACTCCTTTTAATAAGTGACAATATTTCTTTTGACGGAAATTTTGCAATTTTTCAATATTGTGTAATAAGAATAATCAACATGGGTCATGATGCAATGGTGAGAGTGCTTCATCCTTAATCAAAGGTCTCCTGTTCGAGCTCTGTTTATAGAGAAAATCCTAGATTTAATCGGAGCTCCAAGTGAGCTCCGGACACCGAGTGAGAAACCAAAATATAAAATTCGAGCAACAATAAAATCATGAAATTCATTACTTCTTTTTGGACCTCTAGATTTGGGAGAAATTGACAAATAGCTACTTTTCAGATCACTATCTAAGGTTATTTCGAATTTTAAAATTATTCAATATTTAGATAATGGATAAAAATAATCTTACGTTAAAACGCAACAAATCAGTATATAGTAGTGTTTTGGAATTCCAATCTATTACTTAAGATCATAATTTTTTTTTTAAAAAAAATTGATGTCCATTCATCGTTTTAATGTAAAATGAAATAATAACTTTAGTGGCACTCGAACATCGAGTGCCACTAAAGATCTTGTCACATCTTTAGTATCTTAAACTAAAAGTTCTTTCATCCACAAAGCAATTGAAACTAATTGCAATATTCAGTGGCGTAGGCAGAAATTTCTGCAAGTGACCTAAGTTCGAATTCCTAGATAATGTTTCTTTTTTCATATGTATATTGAAGGATATTGTTTGATTTTTTAAATTAATTAAATTTGACCCAGTGGGTCGATTTTATAATAAATATGCAAAATAAGATAACAAAAACTAACAAGAGGGGTCGTTTGGTAGGTCGCGTTAGAAGAAATAATCCATGAATTATGCAATGTATTATTAAGTACTATGTTTGGTAGGAATTTGGGCCTATATATAACTAATCCATGGATTAGTTATACCTTCTACATGGTATTATAGGATGTATTACTAATACCTTCCATTTGGAGGTTTTAGTAATACATAACATATAATATCATGGGATAAATCTATGTAAAGACAAAAATATCCCTCAAATCATTTTAGTTATTTTGTCTATTTTCTTGATTTTATGATTTATATTTATACTAGTAAATTTATTTAAAATAAATTCGCTTCCAAATTATTTAGAGAGAGTTGTTTATTACTAAGTAAATCTAATACAAATTAATACAAATTTGAAATGTGAGTATATGTCGTCTGTGATCTTAATTGAATGTATTTTATATATATATTTGTGTGAAGTGTTGTTAGCTTCTAAATTACTTAGAGAAGGTCGTTTGTTACTACACAAATCCGATACAAATTTGAAATGTGAGTATATGAAATGTGTATGTGGGTTTCTAATTATTTTGTATTCTAAAGAATTTAAAACATACATATATGTTTGTTGACACCCAATTTTGACCCTCCCTGATAATAATTAATTTTCGAGTTTCTTATGTTTTAGACGTTTTGAAATAATTAGTAAAATTTAAAACATTTTGAAGAGTCATTTTAATCATTTCTCGTCATTTTATTTAAATGATATTCCCATTTTATAAATTTGAATATAGCTAGTACTTTATAAAGGTTCCGAAAATCGTCTCAAAGGCATTGTAATTTTCAAGTGTTTTTTTTTCTTTCTTTAAGATTCGGTCTAGCGTAGATTTTTTAGTCATAATTTATTTCGCCAAGTGAAATTGTCTAATCTATATTCAAATTAATTAATTCATTTCGTCAAGTTCAAGAAGCTCGCTAAATTAATTTACTATTAATTCGTCTTTTTAGCCTAGTATTGTAAATACATATTTGGTCCATTTGTTAGGCATTGTTAAAGTATAAATTTAGGGAATCCCATAGTGTAATATAATAATTACATTGTGCCCCGACAAATTTAGTATTTACGAAAATCCCTTAAAATTGTTGTGGCGTGATACATTAGTATGTTGTGATACATGGTAAATGATACACAGTAACTTACAACTGTTAAGATTAAAAGGGGGAAAAATGGAACATTTAAATTTGTTATCTAAATCAGCTTAAATTACGGTAACAGTTCATTAATAAGCATTAATTCGACACGTAATTGGATAACAATTTCAAATTTTGAAAATTCAAGATTATATTATCTAGTTTGAAGACATTTTTATGAACATTCAGTTATTAAACTTATTGACTGATACATGATAACAATTTTCAAAAACTCGTGATACATAGAAAATCATATGATACACATCAAATTCATGTATCAATGCATCGTCTAAACACTATAACTCACTGAGTCGATATGTATCAGCAAGCACACTTGATGGTGCAGTTATTAAACTTATTGACTGATACATGATAACAATTTTCAAAAACTCTTGATACATAGGAAATCATATGATACACATCTAATTCATGTATCAATGCATCGACTAACACACTATAACACACTGAGTACTTATGTATTAAACTTATTGTCTGGTACATGATAACAATTTTTAAAAATTCATGATACATATGAGATTCCTTTACTAAAACTTTTACTAATTTCAACAACAATGGTTGCTGCTTCTTTTTTCTTCTTTTTTTTTGGTGTATTTTGTCAACCTTTGATTTAGATGATTCGCCAAAATCTTTGTTTGAATCCTTCCGAAAATTCATAGGATCATCTAAAGACTTTTTTCTATTTTCTTTCCAATTTTCATCGTCTGAATCATAAATCCTTCTATTAGTAAAAATATCCATTAATATGATGTAATAGAACAATGAACAAAAAAAAAGAAAAAAGAAAAGAAGAACGGATGATGGAGTAAGAAGAAAAAGAAGACCTAGAGACGGCTGTTGTAATATAGCAATGAACAAGAATAAAATAAGAACAGATGATGGATTAAGAAGAAGAAGAAGAACTATAGACGGATGATGGAGTAAGAAGAAGAAGAAGAACCAGAGAACAATGGTCCAATTTTCAAAAATTTCAATTTTTTTGAATTTTGAAATTAAAAATTTCATATTAAATGTTGTGAAACGTTTTTAATTAAAATTAATAATTCAAAATTCAAAAAGTGATTTAGAAGACTGAGTGTTTTAGTGGAGAAAAAATAGGCATGATATTGGGAAAGTGTGTGTTATAGGAGAGAGAAGGCTATGTATCTCTAAACTTCTACTAAAATTAAAAAAAAGGGAATTATGTAATATTTAAAAAAGAAGGGAAAATTAGAGAATACTAAACTTATAGTTGTGTATTTAAGATATATTAACATTTTTAAATGCCCAGCTATTTCATAATTTTTTGAGCCCAATTTCAATTCTATATCAGCCCACCTTTTAAACAATTTCTAGCCCACTTTTATCTCACTAGTCCCAGCCCAATTAAATAACCCGACCCGGTCCTAACTCCTTTCTCTTCCACGCGAGGGCGAGTTAATGAAAAGCGAGTTCAACGTCCCAAAATGACGCGACCTGCCGCCCTCAGTCGAGCAGGTCACGTGATTTCGTCCTGGACGATGGGAGATCGTGCCACGTAATGCTAAAAGGGCGATTGGAGCCATTCCCAACTGTTGATTTTCCCTTTCCTCTTTTGGAATGGGTCAAAATCTTAGAAAAAGTGTGTTTTACCTTTTATGGTGAAAATTTTGAACTGAGCTTGGGAGGAAGTTCCGATTCTGCCCTTGTCTTTCCCCCAATTTTCCCCTAATTTCCAGCTATATATATTCTCTTCATCCCAGCTGGGGAGGGAGAGGAAATTTTTTTGGATTTGGGTAGTTTCTTTTTAAGCTAAAATCTTTTTTCTTTCTTTCTCTTAAAGAGAGTTTAAAGTAAAGGGGGTTGAGGGCAAATTTCTTCTATTTTGGATTTAAAAAGAGACCACTAAAAAGGAATATCCGAGAAGGAGTTGAAAAATTACAAAGTCTAGGAAGTTCACTTCAGAGAAAAACGATAAGAAAACCGTTAAAGATTTCTAGTTAGAAATTTTTAGAGCAAAAACAAAATATCTAAATTGATTTAAGCCAAATGTAGTTCAATAGACACAGTATATATACTAAGGAGAAAAGGGAGAACTAATTTAGGTGTTGGTTTCCATATTCTGTTCGAATTTTCCGGATCGCTGCTCGAGTCAGAGTTTCTTTGGTAGTCGTGGAAGTTCTTCTAGCTCGTCATTGTCCCACTTCGCTTCACCAAGAGGAGGTAATATTTTCATTCTTTTATATGCTTGAAATTTCTTAGTTTTTCCTTCGATAAGTTTTCCTTGAATCTCTTCACTGTGGCCTGTTTCTGTTTTTCATTGTCATAGCTGAAGACATGGATTGTTTTTCTCTATTAGTCTTAGTTAGCTCGCACACATGTACACTAGTCTTGTATATTTTTCATGTCTCATCTCTTGTCTCTGTTTGTAGCCCGCATTATTGTTTGAGCATGTAAACTCGATCTAAATTAAGTGACGCCTTTGTGTTTAACTTCCCTTTCTTCACTACTCATCTATTGTGTGTGGTTTGTTCACTACCTGATATCAGTATTCTTGTAAGTTATGAAATTTTTGAGGACAAATTTTTTGGCTAGCAGATGCAACAGCAGCATGTTTGTTCCAATCATTTGATATCATCCATTTCTTGTATGTTTGTGTCGTCTTGCTGCTTAATATGACGTGTTTTAATCAAGTCTCTCCCTCCATGCCATTCGATTTTTGATCAAAAAGAGAGAAAAACAGTGCCTCTTAACTCGAGTTAGCGACATTCTCTCTGTAATATCACCAATTTTCATTTTTTTCATTTCCATATGCTTTTCTGTTTCATTTTTGTTATTACCTTATACCCCTCTTTGTACTGCTTTAAATTAGTTTGAGTATGTGGCATTAGCATTGACTATCGATGTTTCTTTTATCTGTAAAGGTGTCTCTTTTGACTGGTGTTTTGGGGTTAGTTGATAGATTTCGAAGCTTGACTCGATTTTTTTCTTTTTTCTTTTGCACAAGATCACTTATAGTAGTGTGGTATTATCGATCAAAGTTCTATAGGGTACAACATTTGTTAGTCAGATAATAAGATTTCTTTAGTTTATTTGGTGCATCAAATATATATATATATATATATATATATATATATATATATATATATATATATATATATATATATATATATATATATATATGTATGTTACTTCCTATATTAGAAAAGGCATAATCAACATGCTTGCTTCATTGTCAAGGGTTATTTTTGTCTTTTCAATTATGTATATGGCTAGGTGTCTTCTCATTGTTAATTAATTTTGCCTTTTCATTTTCTCAGCTAATTTGTCTTCTTCTGGTAAAATCAATATGCATGTCTTCCTCCTCCTTGTCTTCCTCCTAATTCTTCATTTATAATGATTCATTGTTTACACATGGAAGTTCACTCTCTTCAACCTTCTCTAGGTAAGGTTTTACATGTTTCAATTAACCTTTCTTTTTCTTTCATCTTTCTTTCAATCAATGTTCAAGTTCCAAATTTGGTCTGGGTGTGTGAATATTCACTTATTTTTCCGTTTGGAATTGTTATTGATGTTGGATCATCCTTTTGGTTGGCTGATTGAGATTGATTTAGGTGGGTGAATATACCCAAATTTGATTTGGGTATGTTATTCTTGTTCCACGTTACAAAAATCCCAAATTTCTGGTTATCTTCTTCTCTTTATGTATGAAAAACCCAGTATTTTCACACGTAACTTTTGGTACTCTTTTGTCAGATGCAGTGTTAGTTTGGTCTTCCAATTCAAATTTCTAGTTGTCTTCCTCTGTTCATGTATGAAAAGCCCATATATTTTCACATGCAATAAATTTTGGTTGTCTTTTAATCAGAATGTGTTTGGGCTACAAAACTCTTCCTGATTATCTCCATTTTGGGCATAAAATTAGTAAATTTACCAACCAAGGTGTACTTGCATCTGCTGGCCATTTTGACTTTGAAATCTTCTTCCCGAAAGGTTATGGAAGGGTATCCTTGCCGAGTGCTAATAATAGGAGGGGTTATGTCTATGGGTGGGACATATCGATTTTGATTAACTCTGATTCGAGAGGCTAAGTATTGGGTCACAATGGGGGGTGAATGGTCTGGAATTTGAGTGGAATTATTTTTGCTGAAGGAACTATTGATAGGAGGTCTGTTTTTATATTGCTGGGAGTTATTTTGGTTTGTTTTTTTGCAGGTTTGATCTCTGAATATCTAAGTTGGAATAAACCTTGATAGGAGGAGGCATTTTGGGTTCCACAAAATCGTTCCCTTTGTGATTATTCTTCTCGTTTTGTCCATTTCCTATAGCCTGCACAAACTGCGTATCCTTCTCATGCTCATTTTGATTAACTAGAACATTACAAGGAACATTAGTATGATCATTATGAGTTATCATGCTAGGGACTGACTTACTTGTAGTGTTATTGTTGGCCTATGGTGTACAATCCTTAGCATAGTCTTGTCTACTTTGATTTTCCAATTTATTTTATGGTTTATGATAGTTTGATTTTTTTCTCTTCAGCTATTCTAGTGTAGCTCTTTAAGATCCTTCGAAAACAAACGACTTAGATTAAGGTTATGTGGTGTGGGGATTTTGATTTTATAATTGATTCATTCTGATTCTTAGGACCCTTTTTTTCTTCTTTTTCCTAAATCTTTATGCTTATTCAGTTAATTTTATACTTTTAATTTACTACAAATCTGTAGTGTGTAAACATGTTCTTGTTCTTGAATTCATTGTTGGAGAGACCCTTTTAAGCCCAAAGGTCTTTTCTGCTTTTTCGATAAAGGTATGAGATCTTTCTTATTATGGTTTAAGTTCTTCATTTGACTTGATGTGGGGTTTCATTTTCATACTGTTTAGTTCTGTGTCAATATTGTTGTACTGGTTCTTATGGTTCTCCACAAACTTGCAAACCAACTAGATAGTCAAGACAATTCAAACATTTCTGTCCTCTAGCGTATATCTATGCTTATGATGATCAAACTAGCAAATTTACATGTATTAAAGTTGACTACATGATTACTTTTTGTCCATGAGAAGTTCATTCTATGAATAAACAACTATATATTTGTGTGTGCCTCACTTTTGTATTTACAATAAAACAAAGTCTTAAGTACATATTATACATAAGAGAAAGCATAAGGACAAAGTTAAAATGGAGGGATGTAATACATGACTATGCATTATGTAAGATGGTCAATTAATTTATACGCACTTACTTATAGTAGTTAACCTTGTGTAGGGCCTTTTTAATTCATAATTTATAACTTTTCCTAATATATCAACAAAAAGACATTAATAAATTTTCTAAATTTAATTCACATGATAATTGAACTTATAATCGCAAAATGTGTTCCTTTATTAAAATCAAACTAAACTTAAATTAAATTGAATAAGAAAAATTGAATAGAACTTATTTTAATTTTGACATTTTGTACAAAATTTAAAAAATCAAAGACCATAGTACTAATTGCCTAGCCTAATTGGGCTGAAAATAAAACTCAATGCAGTATGGCCATTGTGTTTATGACTTGATAAAATTTTAAGAAGATGTATTCTGTACATTGCCAATGTATTTTGCTGGAAAACATGAATACATTTTCTAAATGGAGTCAGTTTACCTTTTATAACTGCTCTTAATAGATGTCTTAACTGAATTCAGTTTACCTTTTGTAAGTGTAACAAAAGCTAAGCCCCCTACTTCTTTAAGAAATAAATCATATGGAAGTTTTCTTATCAGTTTTTTGTTTCTCCCTACTTTTAAAAGAACTTTAGCATCCTCATCAGAGAAATTCTATCAACTGTGCCAGAAGCAACTATACTGATTATGAGCCCATACAAACTACAATATGCTAACAATGCCATTATGACTTACCGATTGATACTAATATTTTCATTCTAGTATTTAAGTTTAATAAGTTTGTTGTTTTGTTTGTCTAAGCTTTCGATATTCATATGACTACACTAATATCATACTTTTGAGACGAACTATTAGAGATGATATTTGATAGATACAACTTGTATAAAATACTAAATTCATTTTATAATTAGTTTTTGCGTGCAGTGTGAAGATAGGAATTTGCAATTACTACTACTATAGTCTCAGCGCTACATGTATGTTCTTTTCCACCCGTTATTATGATTTCTCTTTTGCCTTCTGTATTAATTTTCTCCATTTTTACTACATTCTGCAAAGAATCATTTATTTTTTTATAATTATTTTGAACTGTTTTGTGCATGAGTAAGCAAACGAAAGTAAACATACAATTTGTATCTCATATTCAGGATAGATAACAGTTCTACAAATGTCAGACAAAAGTAATAGAAATGATCTGAATTCTAAAAAAGTTCATGCTGATAAAAAATCTAGACGGCGTGAATTATATAAACTAGCACAATCTAATAAGAAAGATGCCTAGCTGGCAGACGGGCAAACTCAACCATCGAGAATAATGCCTCCATCGGTGCTAGCTCCAGCACCACCACATTGTGTACACATGAGCAAACTCTTAATACTGGTAAAATAGCTAGATAGGATATTATCAAAATAATCTTTATCTACTAAAATTAGTTTTAAGAATTACTACATTATGCAGGATGTAGTTCAACAGAAGTTAATTACATGGAAACCATCCACCCGATAACAAATTGTGCTACCTTAAAAGATGTTTCCCGGTGTAATTCTGCACTGCAAAAAGATTTGAGTATGAGTCTCCAACATTTTGTTGTGGTAATGGTGCTGTGCGACTTATTTTCCATCTAACACCAACAACTTTAAGAAATCTATATTTAGGAAATACGAATGAATCTGAACAGTTTTTGAACTTATATAAAAGCTTACAATAATATTTTTGTATTCACATCTCTAGGAGTTAGTTATGACAAAGAACTAGCAAAAAAAAATAAATATAAAGGTATATCCACATTTTGAGTTCAACGAAAAATGTATCACTTTATAGATGACTTATTACCAGCTATTGAGAAAGGAAGAAATTTACAATTATATTTCTTTGATAGTGAAAATGACTTGAGGAATCGATTGGAATGTTCAAGCAAAGTGAATGAAGGTACTGTACAAAAGCTAATGGAAATATTAAATTCCAATCCATACTCCATATTCTAAAGTCACTAATAAATATTCCACAATTATCTAACTTCTACATTGCTCTAAAATTCGATGTTGCTTTAGATCAAAGAGTGTACAACTTACCAATTGCTTCTGAAGTTGCTGGAATATGGGTAGAGCAAGATGCTCAAAATTATACACTCACCCCATATTCGTGTATATACAAATAGCAATAGGAGTCAATTGGTAAATTATTATTACGGTTGTTATGATCCATTGCAGTATCCACTGTTATTTCCATTTGGTAAAAATGGATGGCATTGTGGTATTCAGAAAGTTGAACCTTTATGTGCTTTTTCTTCTAGAAAAAAATATTGTGAAAATGAACAAATATCAAGCATAACAAATATGACTACAATTGATGGATTTCTTGATATAGAAGCTGAAGATATGCAAAAAGGAAAACGTAAAAGAAATAGTGTCTCCTGTCGTGAATATTATTGTTATCAACTTCAAATTCGAGATGATGAAAATATAATTCTACATTCAGGAAGATTTCAACAATACACTGTTGACCAATGGATAAAAATTGAAACTCAATGATTGGATTTTGCTTCTTTCAATCCAGATTTATATAGAACAAATGTATTAGGAGGATTGCTAGATGTTCTACGACGAGGTGAAAGAGATGCTTCACAAGTAGGTAAACAAAAATTTCTCCCACTTAGCTTTACAGGAGGGACAATATATATGCGTAGACGGTACATGGATGCAATTGCATTAGTTCAGCGTTTTGGAAGACCTGATATATTTTTAACCATCACATGTAAACCCTCTTGTCCAGAGATCAAAGAAAATCTTCTAGCAAGTGATGAAGCATAAAATAGACGTGATTTGGGTTGTCAAGTATTTCGTGCAAAGTTAGAGGAACTAAAAAAGGATTTGTTAAAGAAACACATATTCGGTAAAGTCTTGGCATATATATGTACATCGTAGAATTTCAGAAACTAGTACTCCCTCATGCTCATTTTCTAATTATACTTGATGAAAGATTCAAAATACTTACAACTGAAGCCTATGATCGATTTGTTTCTGCAGAATTACCAAATCCTACTGTAAATTCTCACCTATATTCATTCGTTACACAACACATGATTGATGGACCTTGCGGTGAACTAAATCAAACAAGTCCTTGTATTAAAAAAGGACATTGTAAGTTTAATTATCCAAAAGATCTTGCTCATGCAACGACAAAAGGAAAAAGTTCATATTCTATTTATAGAAGACGTAATACAGGAAACTATGTGGAGATTAGAAAACATCTTCTTAATAACTCATGAGTTGTCCCTTATAATTCCTTTTTATTATCCAAATATAATTGTCATATAAAGGTTGAGATTTGTTGAGATATTAAAGTAGTTAAATACATTTATAAGTACATATGCAAAGGACATGATGAAATCGCATGCCAGATTCATACTAATGATACAAATATAGAAGTTGATGAGATAAAAGAATATCAATCAACTTGATGGGTTTCTGCGCCTGAAGCAACATGACGTACATTTGCTTATAATATCAGTGAAATGTCTCCTAATATATACCATCTTCAACTACATCTTGATGGACAACAGCTTGTTTCGTTCAAAAGTATTGATAATATTAGTAAAATTACAAATAATCCAATGATTCAAAAAACAATGTTAACTGAATTTTTTGTAATGAACACAGTGAATGATACAACTAAAAGTTTAAACTTATTATATCGAGAATTTCCTGAATATTTTGTGTGGTGAAAACAGATAAAATGTGGACAATTCGTAAGCGTGGAAATACTATTGGACGTGTCATCACTTGTCATCCTATTGAAGGAGAAATATACTACCTTAGATTACTTTTAATGAACATAAGAGGACAAAAATCATATCAAGACTTGCTAACGATTAATGGAAAATTATGTACAACATTTAGAGAAGCAGCTGAAAAAAGAGGATTATTGCTTTCAGATAATAATTTAATAGAATGTATGTTTGAGGCTGTAGATTATCAAATGCCAGCAAGTCTTAGACATTTATTTGCTATGTTACTGATATATTGTAGCCCAAGTAATCCAAAAGAATTATGGGAAAAATTTGAAATATCCTTATCAGAGGATTTTGTGAGAATTCTAAACATTAGTACAACGGAAATTCGTTATAGGGTGTTAAAGCATATTAATGATATTCTTCATTCAGCTGGTCATGATATTAATGAGTTTAAACTAATTCTTGAGTTAATTAAAACATCTGCACTATCAAAAGAAGCTACAAATGTTTACTTTGAAAGAAATCTTACGGTGAGTGAAGATGGTCTGCTTCTTCAAAATAAATTAAACACTGCAACAAAAAAAGCTTACAATATAATCTTAGAAAGAATATTTTTTAAATAAATCAGGTGCATTCTTTATAGATG